CGTTGTCGGTAGAGAGCGGGTTATTGCTGGAGCAAACTTCGCTCCTGCTCACTTACTTGTTTGGTGAGGGCGGGGTGGTTTCCCTGCGATGCATCATCATCATCATCATCATCATCATGAACATGCGTGGGTGAGAGAAGCGCAAGTGGGAAAAGGAAGAGAAGTTAAAGGCATCATTTGGTTAGGATTGAATTTCTCCTCTACGTCGCGATGTCTGTCGTGCACAGTTGTCGAATGCAAGTGCAGTGGTTCGAATCCAATTCTCTTTTTTATTACAACATCACACACGTATTTTTTTTCTTATTAACGCGTCACAGACGCTTCTCTCATCACTTCAATTCGTCGTCGTCGTCGTCATCATCATCATCGTAAGAAAAACAACCATTATAGGCAGACACAGCCAGGTATAGCCAGCTGCGACACTGTCCAAAACTAGAAAAGTTATTATAGATGACATAACTGTAGCTGCTGGCAATGTATCAGCATTAAATCAGACCACTAAGAAGATAGATAGTTTTTTTAAAATAGCATCATTACGATATTTGCTGGTTGGAACGGCTGCTTCTTTTCATAGTTTGTTCTCAGTGGCTTGAGGTGTTACGTGGCAACCAAAGAGCAAAGAGCTGTGTCTTTTGCATTTTCAGGCCAGTAGGTCCTGACAGCACTGTAGGACTAAGTCAACAACTACTACTACATGTACCTGGAGAGCCATCGAAAAATCCAGGGAAGAAATGTTACGTAACCAGTGCCCCTGGCCTCTTCCACGCCACACTATATGCAGCATACCTAAACACCTACATCCGTTTTGCTTCTCAGATTAGAAAAATTAGTTAACTTTCTTTGACAGAACTCCAATTTTGAATCTAAGCGATAACTCTTTGTTTTTCGTTTCGTCCAAGCTCCTGTTACTACTAGCGTTCTTCGAAGCAAAATTTTCTTTGTGCGAATGCACAGCTTTATGGCTAACTGCGTGTACGAGAAACACGCGTATAGAAAGTAGGTTTTTAAATAGGCATCTATGATGAATAGCGGGTATATTATGAAAATAAGGTTCATTTGTGTATTTATTATATATGTACGCTGCTTGGATTACTATTGAGCGAAGAAAATCCAATCAGTGGTTCTGCATCCACAAGAAAAGCTTCTATCATACTCAGCTTAGGCAATCACTTCGAACAGCGTAGAAGACAAGAAACGTTCCGGTTATTATTTATGAGGAGGCACAAGCGGAATGAAAAAAACCGGAGGCGCCGGAGGTGGGAGCTGTCTAACATATCGTCTACGAGGATTTGTCGCTCGCAAAATTGACGCCGGGGCATATATATATATATATATATATATATATATATACCCCGGTACTACTAGTATGTAGATAGTACAGGCGGGAAGTCTAGCCATGAGGCGAAAGGCGAACAAAGCCATCACCATAATCATCAGCATCGATGTATTTCACGATCATCTTGCTTTCTTGCACTTTGGCATCTATCTGACTCGTAGTTACTAGGTGCCTTTTGTTAGAGTAAGTTTTTATGAAAACTTAGAAAAAACTGTTTCTGGAAGAAACATGCCGTATTCTATCGCCGATCGAGGCATGGCCAGCGGGTACCACGGCTCATTTCAGTTCAGTTACACTTAGCATTAAGGGCAAAAGAGCAGGGGTGAGCATATTCAATTGCGTTTCAGTTTTTTTTGTTGTTGTTGTTGTTGAAGCAGGGTGATTTTGATCGATTTTGAAGAATAGTCTGCTTATATGATCTAAGCGCAGATCGAAACAATCTGCTGTCCCGTTGTTGTCAGGGTGGCTGGCGAATGTGCGCTTCGCGCATCTCATCACTGCCGCCGCCGTCATCATTAGCGCGTCATCGCAATCAGTTATTCAATACTTGCAGCATTTAGTTTCGATCTGTTCGCATAATAGATGTAACAGTTACCAAAAGGCAAAAAAACAACGCATGCTTAAGCTTTGTCGAGAAGGACGGTGCGCTACAATTAATGCGAGAGTATGGAGTAAAGTAAAAGCTTTTTAACTACTTGATTATGTAAGGATTTGATGGATTTTTTCCAACCATTGTGTTTTATCGCTTAATTATAAGTCTTCACCGGGTCGCACTTCCAAGCATCACCACCTGTTCCGTTTACTGAACGCGTATGATAAATTTATTACATAAATGCATGTTGCTTAGTGCTTCGGAACTTTTGCTGTGAAAAAGCACTATTTTCTGTTTGGTGCATGAGAAATATGTTTGTTGTCTTCATTTTAGTGATTCTTCCTTTGCTCATCATCGAGTTATACAGCTAAATGATGACAAAAAATAGCATTTGCATCCATCGACACCTTCTTCACCCTCGATCTATTTCTAATGCCAAAATAAGCAAACACAAGCAAAAATATTGTTCGGTTTAATATGAAAACTATATAGTTGAGATAATTATCCTCCTTCCAAAAAGTTCGAAGCGATGAAAAGTAGCGAATGGAATGCTTTTTAAACTCCAAAATGCATTACTTATGTACCAAGATCAGCGGTCAAAGCCGTGGTGGTGCCGTTCAATGTCTATTCCCCGTCACTCAAAATAAATCGAATGCATATTCTAGGCACGCGACTTTGACGAAAGCCTGGGCATCGGTAGACAAACTTAACGTAAAGCGTCAGCTGCACAATTGCTTAGACAATAGAAAAACGAGGATAATGAAAAAGAAGAACTTTGCTATAGTGAAACGTTAAGTTGGCTCCGCAAGTTCGACTTGCATTTGCATCCATCGACAAGGCGACAAAGGCATTTTGAAATGACGATAGTAATAATAATGATATTTGGCTAAATACCAAAAAAACAAGAGGAGCAGCATCAAATAACTCGTAATAATCTGTAGGGAACATAAGCAGCGTTAAGGAGACAAAAAAAAAGCTTAGTTCAATAATCAAAACAATACTCATTATATACTAATACGCCAAACGCGTAATGTGGCAATAATACAATAATATAACTTCGAAATCAGGCTTTATCAAACCAATTTATCGAATACGTAAAAACTTAAAAAGTTTCACATGTGCAACCCATCAGACGTTTTTGTCGTGAATTCCGGACGGAACCAACAAAGAAAACCAATAAAAAACAGCGAAGCAGAACTAACTTCGAAACTTAACTTAAAAAAGAAGCCAGTAAAGCAGAAGGTATTTTTAGCTGCCGCCGCTGCTGCTGCTGCCGCCGCCGCTAGCTGTAGTTGGGATGAGGCCGATATCAACTGGACAAACTGAAGGCATTTGGCGCATTGCGTCAATAGTCACCTTTAAGCGGTGCAAATGCGCTTATACCATAAACGCGTGTATCACAGTAACACGGCACCACGGTTCGGTATCAACGTCATCATCATCATCATCGGGCATCAGGAAGAATATCGACCACACAGTCAGTGTGCAATGGATGAATGAATATTTTAAAAAATGGACCGTGCTAAATAGACTGAAACAGCGGGTTGTTGACAGGCGATGTTGCTTGGATACTGCTTTTTCCTAAGTTTATTTCATTCTTTTTAGTTTTTTTTTCTTCTGACTATAACTCTTTGTTGTTGTTCAAGTTCGAACTCGAATTATCAACATCATTAATTTATCTCGCGGAACTGCGCGTAACTGCCCTAGTATTCAGTTCAATGAGGATCAAAGTCTGTGCTGGCTGTATAAGTGTCTCTTACAGCTTGGTCCGTCGCGGTCTTGCTGTAGGGAACGGGGATGAGTCTGTCCTGCAGCTCGCCTCCGATCACCTGTCGATGTTCGTTTGTTGGATGGAGGAGCGGAGTGGTCGGTGTTGATAGACCGATTCGTTGGATCAGGGACGATCATGAGCGCCGTTCGTCGCCACGAGATCAGCCACAGAAGATGTAAGTGTGTGTGAGCGTGTATGCGTGCGTGCGTGCGTGCATGCGCACGCCCGCGACCGGAGCATACGGCAGAGGAGTGAAGGGAGGCAACCATACGGTGACGAAAGAATCAGTGTTGATGCGGGATGTTGTATGGTTGATTTGGTGCGCGAACGAATACAACCGGATGTATGTACGGATGAACAATAGAAGATTGTTCGCGTCGATCGAATGAAGGACGAATGACGACACGCACAACCGTCACCATTGGGTAGCAGCAGTAGTAGAAGAAGAGTGTAGAGAAGTAGTGCAGCAGAAGAAGAAGAAGAAGAAGAAGAAGAAGAAGTGTAAGGCAGTACGGGGAAAGGAGGAAAAGAACAACAACGAACACACGTTTCACATAGTACATCAACGAACAGGGTTCTTAGAGACTTTTTTGTTTGTTTCCTTTTAATATCATTACTAATGCGCAGCCTCTGAATGATACTCATCCGCACTGTTCCTTTTTCTGTTTCACTAATTGATTGGTTAGTCAACCGATTGATCAATCGATTATTTACGGAGCTTACCAATATCACGACATAACAACCCTTGGGGGGTCGCCGCCTGTAAAGGGCCAATCTGTTTCGTGGAGGAATCAACAAGCTCACACGAAGCCAGGGCTCTGCGGACGACTAGGAATAGACTAAATGAGACCTATGAGCTGCTTTAGAAAAAAACAGCGCCATCACATTTTTATAAAAATATTAAATATTTTTGAGTGCTTATTTATCATAAGTTTAACTATTACTAGTATTCTGAGACTCAACAAGCAACCTCTTGACGCTGCGTGCAGTATTAGCTTTTGAGCGAAGCAAACAAATTGGACAATGAGCGGTACTCGTGCCCCGGCTGTCATATATATATGCACCTTATTTTTTTATGGCTAATTACGTTTCATTTATCTGACGTCACATAAAGCAATACCTATAAAGTCAAAAGAAATATTTTAACATTAGGCCGAAATTGTCTCTAGGTGTACGAATAGAACGATTCACACACAGTACTCACATTTTGTTATATCGAGCGAAACTTATATATATATATATACAGGTTTCGCTTATATATATATATATATGTTTAGGGTTGGAAAATAACGTTTCTCTAACGAATCTCATAGGTAAGCATAGATAAGCTATCCTTGAAAAATCGCATAACGTGCGGTGTAATTCGACTAACAACATGGAACTGGATCAATAATAGTAATGCTATGTTGGCTGTCAGAAATAGGAAATAATTTCTACTAAGTAAAGCCTACGTATGAAACAAGATTCGCAGATCTGATTTAACATTGTGCCTTAATAGACACTTCGCACTACATTCTCTCTAACAGTTTTTAGCTCGTGATGGCGCGCAAATACGATCCATCCATCAGTAACGGAAATAAAGTGTTGGCCACAAATATTTGTTTAAGCGACAAAGCGCCACCGCTAAAACTTCTTTGCATCCGAGCCTTGCATTATTCATTGACGTCTGCTCGGACCGCGCGTCGGCCATTATCAACAACTCAAATGTGGCGTGTTGATCTGATGCTGGACCGCGTGCTCAATTTCAAATACACTCTGTCATCGTGTTGTGTTTTTACGCGAGACTTCCCATGCAAGATGACTCAACTGAAACTCTGCAAGGAGCCAATGAAATAGTTGACCATCTGACTGCAGGCACAACATAATCTTTTTTGTTTTGTGTTTCGTTGCTTGTGATGACTTTCATATTGTATATGACAAGCCAACAAATGGTGTGTGCAACTCGTTACGGATACATCTGTCTTCTGTATAAATTAAAAGATCCGGTAACATAAATGGAACGACAGCCTACATTCATAGAGGTTTAGTTAAGAATCAGTTATAAGACCCTGTGGATCGATTTTACTTAGCACATGCTAGATGAATTAATGCTCATACACTAAGTTAAAAAATAAGATTTATATCAGGTACAAACCTGTAATACTACTATGGAATGTTCTGTGACGTCAACTGGCATTCATAGGCACTTCTCATCAATGTGTTTAGAGTGTCGAAGTAAAAACAATTACCGACTAACCCTTTCATCACCTGGGATCATAGTGATTTGCTGATGATTTATTTTTTAGTTCGAACGATTAGCGACAGTTTTCAATTTTGTTGGGATGAAAACTGACGCAGCGTCGTTCTATCATTGTTTAGCGTGTAAAGGCTAGAATGTTGTAAAGCAAAGTGTATTAAATACAGAAGTGATTATTCATCTGGTCTTTTGTTATTTATTTTTATTTGTTCATACGGAAATAAAGCGCTGATAGCATTACTTATACGATATATATTGTTAAGTAAGGGATGGTTTGTTTTTTGACGCGTGTCTATGTGTGAGGAAAAACGACTGACATGCAAGTTGAAAAGGCATTTTGAACATTAGAATCAGTTTTAAATTTATTTCTTTGCAATAACCTTTTTAACTAAGAAACAAGTCTACAACTGACTTCGTTATATTTATAGCCTTCATCACCTTCATAATTATCGTTATCAACTTCATATCCTTTTCTCGCATCATCTTTCTGCCATTTCAGCCATCTTTTTCTTTCTTTCTTCCTTTCGTTCGCTCTATCTTCATTACTATCTTTTGTTATTATTAGTAATGTTATTATTATTATTATTATCAATTATTATTATTGTTGTTGTTGTGTTGTTGTTGTTGTTGTTGTTGTTGTTTATTTGTCTCGAAATGTCGTATTTACATTATCGCGTTGCTATTTATTTAGCGCGGCTTTCATGTAACAAAACAAGTGACGGGCAGAGCGACCTTCCAGTATCGCCGACGCCTCACAGATCACCCTGACGCTCGATCTAAATGACAACAAAGGTGTTTGCATGTTGATCATAAATCATAATCAGGTGTGTGCCACCTCTAATTGGGAATGACACAACATCCATTCACCCGCAAAAAAAGCACCCCCCATCGCGGACCTTAAATACGAGTTCTTGGAAATAGATGGGCTGATCGTTCCAGTTAGTAGCAGTTTTGAGTGGTAGGTACACGGTATGTTATGATGTCGTATTTCACTCGGGGCGACGCTCACTTGGCAGTTACACTTAACAGTGTTATTAGCGCCACTGCTACTTGTGTCAAAGGGATGTTTTCCGTTACAATTGTATTCTAGTTCATATCGGTTTTGATAGCCTCGCACAGGCACAACATGCGTAGCACGTGTGCACCGAATATACGGCCTGCTTTGACTTTTGCTGCAACACAGGGCGGATCCTTTAGGATCCAAAACAAAACGTAACAGAAACCGCTGCCTCCAGGTTCAGTTAGATGGCGTCGCTCTTTTTTTTTATTTTGCTTCACGTCGTTTGTGTGGCCATTAGAAAAAGGAGAGGTTAACGAGAAACTGCGAATGCCCCTTAGTTATAGGGTAACAACTTGTCTCTAAGGCCTTTCGGCAGCAGCTAGTTGCATCAGAATCTGGAGGTCAATCAGAGCGCGCGCGAGCTAGCCGTGGCAGGCCGCTCTATCCGCTTAAGCAAGCTAACAACAGTTACCTTACGCTTGAACGTTTCTTCGCTTTTTCATTTACCTCCTCTCTCCTCCTTGCTTATTATTTGTTTGTCTGTCTCCATGCGTGAGGCATTATCATCAGCATCCATTTCTAATTATCATTACTATTAGTCGTCATAAATATATTATCATAAGTATGTTTCGTTTTCTAGTCTTAGTTCTCTTTTTTTGCTGATATTTTCTAACTCCTCCTCGATTCCGCATTTGATCCTTGTTCTTTCTCACTTCTTCTCGTCGTCGTCGTCGCCGCCGTCGCCGTCGCCGTCGCCGTCGCCGTCGTCGTCGTCGTCGTCGTCGTCGTCGTCGTCGTCGTCGTCGTCGTCACCATTAACATCACTATCATAGCGCTGCTAGGATCTGTCGATCCTTGCGCTCAATCGATTTATTCATTTTATTGTTTGCTGTTGTAGTTTATTTGTATGTTTGACATAATCTGATATTATCATCTCTTGCTCTATGCACTACATTCACGCCTTATCTCATTCTTTAGAACCACCACCCACTTGTGCTAATGAATATATCGAAGTGGAGTGTCTGCAAATAGAGGAAATGAGATGCGCGTGTGACCGACCGTTCGCTTGTTTATGTTACGACTTACCAAAATGGGTAATAATATAATGCAGTAGAAATGGCAATGGTGACGGATGTGTGGGAATATCGTGTGACGGCAAAGCTGTGCGCTGGGATCTTTGAATCTTCTACGGTCGTTGCTTATATGGTTTCTGCATCAATATGGTGTTAGTGCCTGATAGGTTTTACATGTGGATTTTACTCAATCGTATTTTGTGTACCGGCGGGTATGCGTCTATGTCGAAATCGATCGGTCTACCATATATCTATAGTGAATTGTCTCATGTATGATGTTGTAAATGAACCTGCGGCATCTTTACCTAACGGTTCAGCCTCTTCGTAGACCCCGCGATGGTTCAGTGATAACGGGCATAGATAGACGCACTTTGTTGTCGGCTGAAGGGAAGGGGTAAGGGAGGCAGCCTAATGCTACCTTGGGTACACAACGGCTAATCAAGGTTGTACCGAGCATAAATATTAAGAATAAAGAACGAGTTGGTCAAAATGAACTAAAAAGAACTAACCGCACGACCAATGATTAACTAGAATAATTAAGCGTCTAAAATGCATTAACCATGTTTTTATTTCTATTGGCTGGATTCCCGTGATAGTTTTGCGGGAAATTATCTGTTTGTTAATATTAGGGACATAGTCTAGGTCGAAGTTGGGCGTAGACACGCTTCGTTTTATGGCGGGAGCCAGCTGTCTCATGGGATGTCTAACGATGATGCCGGTCGTATAACTCGAAAAAAAAAAAAAAAAAAAGGAAACGGGAGGTATGTTCACTATCCCGGCTCAAAAAGCGACAATGATTTAAAATGGCACGCATATTTATCGAAACTATTATCAGCTATTATCAGGTTGGTATTCTATACACGCCAAGAGAATATCTCCTTTTATCTGTTTCGATTTCTAATAAAAGTAAAGTGGATGGATAGATTGTAATCTATCCCTTTGTAATAGAAGGAATACTTTTCCACATTGTACTCTGCATGGTGTAGGAATGGTAGAAATATTATACAATTTTTAAAAAATTATATAGTAAATTCATAGGTTTTGAGCTAGAGGATAAGGTACAAAGTCACCTGAACTTAGTCTGTAGATCGGTCAATTTACAACATAATATATATATATACATATAAACAGTTAACGCAAAGATGCTTTATACCAAAAAAAAAATTAAAAAAACAAGTACAGTTAATTAATAGATAATACTATAAAAACATTTAAAAATACATATTAGTCGAGGCATTGCAGAAACCATTACTAGCAAACAACTGCCCTTCCCTGTCAGATGCATAATAAGAACAATGTGTTTATTCAATTGTTCGTGATTCATATTCAAATGTTAGGTATTGCTTTACTATATATATATATATATATATACTTCTTTAATATCTATTCGTAGATGTAAGTGTTCAAGAAATCTGCCACGAACAATAAAGGAAAACTTATTTACATATTATACTACATAGGTGTTGTATGTTGTCGTTCAACGATATAAAATATATTCCTACAATCGATCGCTCCTAACAAGTTCAGAAACAAGTCAATCCCTTTGAGAGGCAAAAGGTGAAAAAGTCTCCTGTTTGTCTCTTTAACGCAACGTGAACTTGGGGTAAGTTCAACAAAGGATCTGGCAGGATATCGTTGAAAAAATTTAACTATTTGACATAACTACTATTAAAATACTAATAGTACTTCGTAGTTTCTTATATTCAAGTAGTAAACGGATGAACAAACTGGTCTGGCGTACGCTTAATTCTTACATAGATTGAATATGTGTATTTCAGACCAAGTAAGAATTTGTAGAAAAATCACACACCAATACGGGGATATTTATCGCGAGACCTCCTGCGACGACTTGAAAAATATTCGATTTGCTTTTGTATAGCATTCATGGAACAATACAGCATCAATCGTATAGCAACGACAACTGAACGTCGAAGAAATTACGACAACAGTACTATTTCTTTTGTCTTCCATTCAACAAGTTACTGCTGATGTTTCACTGGGGCTAATCAGTTTGTTACGTGCCCCATGTATTTATACCTATAATATTGTGTAAATATATGCGACTGTATTGCGGCATGTTGCGTTGTATGCTCAGCGTCGACGTATTCTTTTTATCAGTAACATGATCCGTTAACAGTAAACTACGCGAAATTGGATGTTGTAAAAACAACAGTCTTATATGAAGTGCCGATGATTGTAAAAATAAAAAATTTGCTAACATCGTCCCAATGGAGTCCACGTTCGTTGGGTTCGTCTAGCCTGATTCTAATAATTAGGGTATTATTGGGTCTAGGTGTGTATCACATCGTAGAGCTAATCTTTTCAGAACGATAATTTAATTTTTAGAGTATCTTTTATCCAAGCAACACATTTGGGCTGCCGTTATCGAATAAGTTTATCAAGGTTCTTCGAAGGCGATACGCGGTGAGAAAATATTCGATTCGCGAAAAAGGAAGCGTGAAAAATTGGTCTATCTTATTTAGGTGTTTAGTTCTTTCTATTGCCAAATTGGGGAAGGACACGAAAAGGTTCCTGAATATTCAGTTTTGATACTGTATTATATCTACATAACTCAAGCTTACTTCTTATTTATAAATTGTAGGCTCGTTCGGGCTCATGTTGCTCTACACACATACGCACAAAAGTTCGATGCTTTATCTATTGGGGGCACGACAAAAGTAGCAAGCGTTTCACGCTATTTTCAAAACTGTCGACATTACCTAAAAGCGAGCGCCTTCTCCTTAAAAAATCGGCAGCAAAAGAAGCTCAACTACCTTATGCGTAACAACTATATATATATATATATAGCCTTTGCTTCTGTCTCGTATCGAATTATCGTTCTCTGTGTGTTTACATATAAAAAAACGTATGTGTTTCCTTATTATATATAGGTGTCCGTGAGACGCAGAGAATAGAAACTGTTCGGATGCGTTTTATCAGATTTAGGCAATGTCAGCATCATAATCAGCTAGTCAATAATAATCATTAATAACAAAATAGTAGAGCTTATATATATATATATATATATATATATATAGCCATTACTATCATGATAGTAATCGTTATAATCATATAATATATTCTTTAGCAATATTTAGCTATTACCATTGTTAGTCGTAGTACTAGGATTAGTGATAACCCCTCGTTCTCTCTCACTCGTGTTTTTTATCTCAAGTTTTCTACGTATCTTGTTGAGTTTCGTCAGCATTGTATGGCTTGTTGCTGTTCTGCTGCTGTTGTTTTTCTCAAATTTTCAATTTCATCACGTATACCAGAGTTGTCGGCTGGATAATGTAATCGATCGGTTTCACTCTTGCTGGCTAAGTATATATTTGTCTATTTGTTTGACGTTTTTGGACTATTGGTTGCGTTCGGTCTAATTTTTATCTAAGTTTTTTTATTAGTGTTTGTGGCCTTTACTTGAAGATATCATCGTAGCGCCTTCCTCAGTGATAAATATATCTTATATCATAAATTAGAGTCCACCTTCCTTCATATATTTATAATATGAACTGGTCATATACAAATACAATGGTGTCGCCCTCAGCTATTAGCTGCGTAACGTAAATGTCAAAGCTTTAAGAAGCACTGTCACATTGACATTACGTTCTGTAGGGCTTCATTCGAGGAAGCGCGGGTACGTATATATATGTATATATAATATATGTGTGCTTTACTATGTGTGTACGTAAACATTACATATTCGAGTCCTTTTATGCACGCCATAAATTATATAGTCAACTTGTATTGACGAAAAGAGATAAAAGAGATCCGCATACTGTATAAACGTTTGAATTTAATTCTTATTACATATGGGTGTCAGTCTAAGCTGTCTGAAAACTGTCTAAAAACAAAGTCTGTCATTGATTTCTATTGATGTTTGTTATGCAATTACACGGGTGCAAAACTTAAAAACATATATATATATATATATATATATATATATATGTCGTGTATGGCGCGTTTTTTTCTCATTTTCGGACCTGTTATAATCGTACGATTTTATTGTTACACGACGCATCGTAATTATGTGTTCTTATCTAACTGGCGTGTTAGAGAATTAAAGAAAGAATTGTATCATTAAATAATTCTATTTACAAAATTAACCAGGCATCCATACTGCTAAATACGCGTTTTATCTATTGTTTGGGAGTGATCTGTTCGCCTCAGTATATCATTACCCCCCTCTCAGATGCCGCCCATCCGTACGGACAAATATAGCATATATATATATATCATTCACAATAGGTGAACTCATAGAGATGTACGAATCAGTGATTCACCCTATATCATCATCATCATTCACCTCCGTCGTTTGATTTTAGTCCTTATATTATATTAATTTTTTTATTTACGTTACGACGTACCTAAAGTCGATTAGAAGAAAATAATCAACGCGACTCACTCACTCGAATAAATACACAGAGAGTGGCCCTGTGGCTCATGCGTCATCATTGTATTTTGGGCGATTGAGCACAGGACAGAAATGTATTACTATTATTATTATTATTATTACTATCAAGAAAAACTCTCGTTATGCTAGTGATAAACTACCTTTTTACGGAAATTATTTTCGCTATCATCTCATCAAATCATCATGTTCTCTTATATCCTCCTTGCTTCACTCATCAAAGTTCTACTCAAATCGATTCCAACTTCACAGACCGGTTTCAAAGCCCCTTCGTGTATCTACTCCTTTTCCTTATGCGGCTCTAACGTTCTGGGCGTATTATTTCTATTCGCCTGTTTTTAATATTGCAACCCGTATGCGTTATATGCTGCTACTGATAATATGCCACTGTTGTTCTTATTCTACAAATTGTCTGTGTGATTATAGTCAGTCGTAAAGGCTGAGCAAATAAGCAGCTGGGCTGCTCCAAACATGGTTTTTGCGTCGGGCAAAGCTGATCAAGTTTGTTTCTTTGTTCTCCTTTATCCTTCCGCTACATGCAATATAGCAGACTGTATTGCAAGCTTTTGGAAACAGAAATGCGTAAGAGAGAGATATCATGGATTATTAATGAATATTACGTTGGCCTCGTAATATGCTATAAGCACAGTCTCCGATCACGGTGGATGAAAAACTCAAAACCTTCAAATAGTTCTATTTGTCGAGGTCTCCAAAAAAATTGGAATCTATGTGCTTCGACATCACCAGCGCTGAAATCATCATTATTATTAATAATATGAATACTAGCTATAGAATTGGTTAAGTAGCTGTTCGTCAGTGCTATATCAATGTCGATCATTCCTATTTAATATAACCTCCTCCATCCACCTCAAACCCGCTCCTCCATCTTTTCCGTCAGATACATATCTAGTTTAGTAGGTGTTTTATAGTAGAGATAATGCCGCCGACTACACTTATTCATTGGCTTTGTTATGTCTTTGGTTGTTTAGTATATCTGTGTTGCGTACATCCATTGTCGACTCTACTAAAGATAGTGTTTATCATAAACATGGAATTTTTTACTCGTGAACCAAGTCATGTCCTCTGTATCCGTTTCTGCTGGCTTATATATATGTATTTATATATATGGCTATATTAGTTTGTAGATTCATACTTCTACCCTTCTTGGACGTAATAGGGAGACTTGCTTGAAGCGAAATTGCAACTGAAGAGTCTTCGAGAAGCTTTTTGCTGCTTTTTCGAGTGAGCAACAACTTTAGTCGGATTTTATCAAATAGTATGTATTTATCATTGTCTACGATCGAAGTCAGTGCCATAAATGTCTGAATGATGTAGAGGTGCAAGTAAACAAAAAAAAATCTAGGTAAGCTTGGATTATTTCGGATTTCTGATATATAATATTTAATTATATTATATTTTGAAATAATGCTAAAAAAAGTTTTCCGTTTCGCTACGTTCTAGCGATCCATTGTAATTAGAATCTGGCAAGCGCTCTGCACAAAGGTATCTCTTCCAGTCGCATACACGCATGACAAAGATACAAAGTATGTCAAGAGAGTATAATGGGCAGTCTGCGAGTAAAAATCAAGACTTATTGCGGTTTCTAACCGTAGTCAGGATAAACCGGACATAACCTTCAGCCTGGACGAGATGGAACAAACAGAGGTCGACAGAGTGAACAGTATAAGGATACATGAACAGTCCTTTCGGCGGCCGCTCAGTTCCTCCAATGGCCTTGCCTCCTCAATTACAAGGATCGCCACCGCCACCACGACCCCGGCCTTGTTTTGTTTGTTAGCATTACCTCATCTGTTTTGTTGTTTACTTTTGTCCTATTCGTTCCGTTGTTTATTGGCATTAGTGAATACACAAATATTAGTACTATTGTTATGTGTCAAAATCGTCATCCTACCACATCGATAACAATAGTAGTATATAATAATAATATGAATCAAACTTGTACTATATTATCAGCGAATCATTAAACGATCGCATCAAAGATCGCTCTAACGATTTCGCCCATTCTTTCCGTTCCGCCTACTTTTAAGTCATCCCTATCTTTCCCGTTGTGAACAACTTCTCCTTGACCTCCTGCCTGCGCGTTATTGTTATTTATTGGTTACCTTCGCCGACGGCAGCCATTTTTAAAGTTGCTCTTACTACGTTATTGTTAGCGTTGTCATCATGGCTGTCGTTATTGTTATTATTATTGTTCTTGTCGTTTTACTGTGTTTTCGTGTCATCAGTTAATGCGGTCATTGTGTGTTTTCTATTATTGATTATAGTACTTGGTCATGCTTCCTTTCGTTTAGGTTCATTTTTGTTTCTTGTTAGCATCGTTGCATAGAGGCCGGCAACACCTGTGATGCCAATCCAATGTTGCGTCGTGTTATTAAGAATAGCAGTTAAATCTGTGTATATAATAACCCGCCGCTGCTTTCACCGTTGTTGCTTTTACCGATGTTATTGTCGTTTTTGTTACTTGTTGGTTGTTGCAGTTATTCTTGTATCGTTAATACACCACATTTCCTAGTCATTATCATCGCACCTGCAATGTCCGTCCGTTGTGAGTTTTACTGTCCCCGTAATTGTTGCCACGAGACGAATACTCACTGTATGCGTTTCAAATTTATATTATCTGCGTCAATTAATGTTGTTGCTGTCTTTCTATAGTCAGGTCTTGAACGTTATGCGCCCACCTGACTTGATCATTGGCGTCGATGCTGTTTCCGCTGTGATTCATTATATAATTATTTATCATTTATATAGTTATGGTCGATGTTGTCACTTGAAACTGAGCTAGTAAGTCTTTCGATATCGTTAAATCTCTGTAATATGTCTGCCTCACTGGCGATATATATATAAGCCGAGCCTTGGTGAGATAGTGGGTGGTGCTTTATGTAATCGTTTTGGTTCCTTTCATCTTCCGTTTCCCTACCGTGAAAATGTCTGCCGCACTATTCGACTAGTTCGCGCCATTGTATTTGTGCACGTTGCTCGCCAGCATCCTCCCATGTGTCATCAATAGTCACCGCATAATTACTTGAGAAAGGGTTATTTTATGCTGTGTAATTAATAATTCGGCCCGTACAATTTTGGAGCCGCCAATTCATTCATTCGTACAGCTATTATTATTATTGTCGTCGTCGTCGTCGTCGTCGTCGTCGTCGTCATCATCAGCAGCAGCAGCATTATCACCATCATTAGTTGCAGCGTCTTTTCAACGGGAATTAATGTTATTATTGTTCTCATCTATGAATATTGTCAGCATGATGACTATTCTTAGTGTTATCTTAATATTATCATCGCTATAATAAAGTTCTTCATACTTGTATTAGGCTATCTACAATATGTTTCCAGTGCAATATAAATGTCAATGAATGAATCGATTAACGGATGAATGAAGACAACTATCGCGCAATCTTCTCGCGGTCATGGCCTCTCGATTCTTTTCCCACTCGAAACCCACCACGATAGGAATTGCTATCGTCACCAGTCGTACAGTTCCGACAGAATGCTTTCATTACCCAGCCGTCTATTAGCACGCATCCTGGCTTTTGGTTTTCGATAATACACGCTTTCTTCATAATAGTTACTCATTGAATCGATTTGAGCTGTTCCATAAAAGTCATCCTGTGTAATCATCATTTCGCGTGTACGTCACGCTTTGCTGAGTCACTTTTCTTCTGAAGTGATTTTTCAACGTGATCTAATTGTTACGGATCAATAGATCTCTTTGTACGCTATATGTCTTTATATATGTACGGGCATTGTTGTTTGTAACAACACAACTCAATGACGAGGGCGAGTTGTACTTCGCCTACTCTGTCAGCTAACTTAACGTTCCACGGAGTTTAGCAAATTTGCGAAAACCTACTTTTAAGAGCAGGACAGTCTGAGAGGTGGGCCAAGTGCAATAAGGTTAAGGTCGGCAGTGAAGCAAGGCGCTCGTTTAGTCACAAGCCACTGAGCTACACAAACGTATTTTTATGTCATCTCTCCTTTTTCGTCATTTCACGATCATTACTGATGCAGTATTGGACTTACTAAACGAAAGAAACCGACGATCGTGTTCCTTTTTTTTTATCGATACTCGGCAATGTTCATCAGTGTTTCGTTTGGGCTCAACACCCCCACAACATGCGATCACAATGACCATGTTAACATTGTTTGCTTGCATTATATAAATATATACGTTGTTCATATTGAAATCGATATTACTTTAGTACAGGGGGTGCTTGTTTTTCTCGGCTGGCGGGCTGGCTGGGACGTGACCTCGAGCTTGGGTAAGTTAGTTGGGTATCAGATGATAGGCGTCATCATCATGTTAAGGAGTCTGGTAATGGAAGTATTAATACTAACTGTATTAGGTTCACAGTTGTTGGCCGGTTGTAACGTTGTTCAATACCATCAACATCGCCGTTCGTCATCAATTGCTCGTAGTATTTGCAGATTTACAGTGGTTGCTGTTTGTATTCTTTCCGTTTTCGTTTACTAATATTAGTACCACAGTCATTGTAGAGCTTGGCGTTAAAGACAAATGCACCTGTCGAGATCGCGTTTAGACAAAGCGGCGGCAGAATCACAAATCACGCAATGGTACGAAGCGCGAATAGGTTATTCGCACCTCGGCACCACCAAGCACTCACTACATACACAAATATAGTACATGTTTGTTATTCGGGTTGGGCGATGACAGGGGCGTAGTTCGCATGATTCCAGATGAACCCCACAGCCGACCGTTTGTAAACAGCTGCGGTCAGTGGATAGCTGCTCAAAGATCAGGTTAGGCGATGTACCACCTGTTGCGAAGGTTAATATTATAGCAGCGGATATTGATGGAGGATTAGGTAGCAGGCTCCTTGGTTCATTGCTTCAGCGTTGGCCTAAGGTGCTGTGATGCATGAAGGCTGGGCTTGTGTGGGGCAACGGAAGCACTGAGCAACTCCCAAAACTTCTGTTTCCTTCACTTTTTTTCACGACACAAAATATGTAGAAGAACTGATTGTAGGGAAGTAGGTAAAGGCGAATGGATGGAAGAGAGACCCGCTGTAGCTGCTGAGGGACTAAGAAACAAGTTGGTGATGGCTTATTGATAGATTGATAATTTACGTTGTACGATAGTCGTCTGTTAGTTAACATGTTCGCTTGAGCTTCGTCTGAACCTCTGTAGTTGTCCAGATGATCTCTTGTGGACCGTAATTGATTCAATGTCGCTTGTCTCTTCCTCTCTCTCTCTCTCTCTCTCTCTCTCTCTCTCCCTCTCTCTCTCGCCTACTAGTTATATTTTTTCTAACTAGCATTGACTTTAGATCGTTGTGATCGATGTTAGATTGAGTCCCCGCTCATCAGCAGGTTGTTCAATCTTAAAGAAGCGCTCTTGTCGAAGTCAGATGAACGACAGTTGAAGGTTTTTCAAATCGGTGTGTACATATTCCCAAAGGCACACGATGAAGATTAGGTAATGATGCGTCCGCTGCCTTTTCTATTCTTCATCCTTTTTTCATTTTTATTGTCTTGATCTTCCAATATCCTGTCTCCGCCGCACAGATCATACACAGAAAGGTGCGTGTCGCTTGATCTTACTTGCGTGCTTCTGAGTTATTTAGCCATCTTCTTTGCTTTATTATTAATGCTGGATTCGTTTGTTTACTGGTTCACTATTACTATTGTTATCTAGTTTTTATCAGCATTCTGCAAAATAGTGAAACGTGAAGTCAAGTTGCTTTGTCGTTCATTCGTAACAAAGAAACTTCTCCCCAGAATTTGCTTTCCGTCGTCCTGTTAATATTATCATTAGTTATTTAGTATATCGCCGTATCGTCATCTGTATGGTTCGTTTGTCGTTCGGTCAGTGAGCAAACAGTTTATTGCGGAGGGTTTGCAGGCGCGGCAATCCACGCTCTTCCCCAAGGGTAGGGAGAGAAGTACGCCGCTGCTTAGCTCACAACAACAACACTGTGGCTTAGTATGGAGCTAGCAGGCTAATGCACCCTGCTCCAGACTGCGAAGAAATACACACATACACATATGTGACCTGACTGACATACGCTTGTTTTGTGCGACGACACTTACCAATAGCCAGACAAGGACAGAGCTGGGAGCTGTGTGCTAGTACTGAGTCTTCATCGCACATTTTCCAAGTATGTTTCCGTCGATTTTCGTCGAGGTTCGGCTTTTTAACCACGGTCGGCGCGAACCCCACCACAAGCCTTCAACCACTGCGAGGCTGGCAAAAGCGCCAGTGAGAACTGACCTAGCCATTGTTGCTAATAGGCATGTACGTAGTATGTCGCTATCCTCCTCTTCTTTCCCCGCTAAATCTAGAGACAGGTGGCTGCAGTGCATGGAGAAAGCGTCACTCCTCCTGTTATATATGTATATATAACAAAAGGGTATATACAGATATATATTGAAGCTTGTTTTTCAGTTAGTACCGCCGGTTCTTACTTTATCTCGCCAGTGTTGTTGGTAGACCGTGTGAAATACTGATACGACCACAACATCACGACACCACAGTACCGAGATTTCTGGGCGCGTGGGGAGAGATTGGCTTCGTCAGAGAACACGCTTTCAGCCTTAATAATAAAATGGCTATTAGATCGTTACGTTTCGATCCATTAAAGGGCTACATATTCACGACATCCTGAATGTGTACACAGTGTGTGATGCTCGTTGCTGCTGTTGTTGTTGTCGTCGTCGTCGTCGTTGCTGTTACAGTCAACACTGGCTTGATGATCTAATTTACGTTTCCTGTTGTTTCTGTGGGTGTGATCATAGTCACAGTCAAATGCTGGTCTCATGTAGCTTCGAGGCCCCGTTGGGCGGCGTCTGACTGCCGTTGGCGGGCTCCGTGAGCAGGTGGTAGCCTTGCGATAGCGGAGACGTAACTGGTCCGCAGCCCAGCCCGCGATCGGACCCCGTCGACGACAGTGAGCTCGACGAGCCCGAGCTGGCGCCCGAGGGAGATGTTGGCGATTGCGTTGCTGCCAGGACGGTGGTGCCGCCGCCACCGCTTAAGGTTGGATTATTGTTGTTGTTGTTATTATTATTGTTAACTGGAGGCGGCGAATAAGAGGCAACATGGTTAAGCCGCCCATTACTGTTATTGTTACTAAGTCCTGTACTATGGCGTAGCGGTAGTAGCGGCGGTACTTTAACTGGTAACCCCGTTGGCGGAACCGCAGGACTTTCAGTGGTCGCTGGTGATGATGCCTCCCCAGTCACAGCCACAGCAGAGGTCGGCCGATACCCGGTTGGGTAGATGATCGCTTGTGGCGATTGTAACGGACTGGTCACCGGCGAGCTTGCTTTGTCCACGTAGGATTTGCCCCCTTGGTTATTATTATTATTATGATGACCAGCAGCAGCAGCAGCAGGAATAGGTGACTGCGAGCCAGCGTTCAGGCTCGTCGTGTGGCTCACGTCGTGGAAGTATTCCTCTTGATCAGCAGCTATCGAGCTCAGCTGTTTAGGATGCGATCTCGAGCTGCGTAAGCTGTGCAGAGAGTGGGCGCTGTGTACACTACGCTTATCTTCCATGTCCTCAAGGGTGCTTTTGAACGCCCTCACTACTCGAAGCTGCCGTGGAAGGGAGAGGAGATATTGACCGTTAGATAACTAATATTCACGGGGTTGTAGCGGGAGGGTGAGGGGCCAGTCGGAGAGCGTCTACGAATTTCTTTTAGTTTTAGTGAGTGATCAGTCAATGAGTTATAGGTATCAATCAGTCCATAGCAAAGTATTTTTGTTCCCTCTCCCTTTCTCAATATATTCGCTGGGTCCATATACTAGGGTACGGGACGAGGGAAGGGTTTAGAGACTTTAAACGAGTCAAAAACACTGCCAAAACGCTGCCAAGCCGCATCTACCTGAGTGTCTTGACAAAATATCTATGCATCTCATACATTGCGTACAGGTAAAATTCTATCGTGTACAAATATATTGAATAGTGAAATTGCTTTGTTTAGCAGTGTTTTTGGGCCGTACGACGGCAGTTGCAAAATATGTGTTCTGTTATGAACTTTTCAATCGTCATTGCTTTGCGAGAGAAAGCAGAAACACGGACAAGGGGAAAATTTGGAGGTAAAAACGCGTGGCAGCGCGGCAGTCTATCATCATTGCCATTGCATCATCATATCATCAGATTAGGATGGACGGGGTTAGGAAATTCTTGCGAACCAGCCAGTTGTGCAGATCTCTAAAAGAAGAAAGAA